TGGGGGTCCCCGGACATAGATCTCTTTGCCTCAGGGAAGAACAACAGAGTCCCGAGGTTCTTCTCCCTGAGCCGCGGGGACGGCTCAGAAGCGGTGAATGCGTTAGGACAGAGGTGGGACTACCCGCTGTGCTACGCTTTCCTCCCGGTCCCCTTACTCCCCCTGGTGTTAAGAAAATTCAGGACAGAAAAAACTTTGCTCATCTTGATCGCCCCTTTTTGGCCGCGGCAAGCGTGGTTTGCTACCCTAAAGAGCTTAGCCACAAACCCGCCCTGGGAATTGCCGCCAAGGAGGGATCTGCTGACGCAGGGGCCGGTCCTGTGCCCCAGGTTGGAGAGACTGAGGCTATCGGCCTGGTTTCTGAGCAGCAGCTCCTTTTAGCGAAAGGGTTTTCAACCAGGCTGGTGACGACGTTGCTGGCTAGTAGAAAGGAGGAGACTCAGGCCATTTATAGCAGGGTTTGGGGTTGCTTTACGGCCTGGTGCGTTAGGGCGTCAGTAGCGACCCATAGCATGGTCTCGGTATTGGAGTTCCTGCAAGCAGGGGCGGACAAGGGGCTGTCATTCAGCATGCTCAAGGGCCAGGTTTCGGCCCTCAGCGTGTTCTTGTAGATGCCCTTAGCCAGGGAAGCACTGGTAGGGAGATTTTTTAAGGCCCTGGCGAGGCAGAGGCCTCCGAGGTCCGGGCCTTTTCCAGCGTGGGACTTAGCCAAGGTGCTGGGGGTGCTGATTAGGGCCCCGTTCGAGCCCCTGGAGTCCTGCCCGATAAGGGACCTTACTATTAAGACGGCCTTTTTAGTGGCAATTACCACAGCAAGGAGGGTATGTAAGCTGGAGGCCCTTTCAGTCAGAGCCCCCTATCTACAGATTTTTCCCGATAGAGTGGTGTTAAGGCCGGACCCATCCTTCATTCAGAAGGTGGCCCAGAGATTCCAGAGGGAGCAGGATATAGTGCTACCCTCATTTTTTCCTGACCCGGTTGGGAAAGTTTAGGAGAAACTTCATTTTTTGGATGTTGGAAGGTGCGTGCTCCTGTACCTTGAAAAGACAAAAGGGTTTAGGAGCACGGAATCTTTTTTTTTTTTTTTTTTTTGTTTCTTTCGCAGGGGCCAGGAGGGGCAAGAAAGCTTCTAGAAGGACACTGGCCAGATGGTTAAAACTGGCAATTACGGGAGCATACCATGCAGAAGGCCTAGAGGCCCGAAGGGGATCAGGGCACATTCCACCCGAGCGGTAGCAACTACCCAGGCGGAGCTGGCAGGGGCTTCCCCAGGACAAATCTGCAGGGCAGCTACCTGGTCCAGCTATGACACTTTTGTAAGGCAATACAGACTCGACCTGGTCTCTGTGCAGGATCAGGCCTTTGGGCGTAAAGTCTTGCAAGCAGTTAGCCCGCCCGATGGGTGAGTACTCGCTTATCCTCTCAAGGTGCTGTCCTGAAAGACGAAAGGGGAAAAATCAAGTTACACTTACGGTAACGTCTTTTCCAGTAGTCTTTCAGGACAGCACCGATTGCCCACCCAGTGTTGATATTTGCTTACGTGAAAATGTCTTATGGCGGTCATGTTGTCTCATGTTGTGCCTCCCCAGGTGACCGGAGGTACGATCTAAGAACTGAGGTCGGAGGGGAGTGGAGAACTTTTTATTTTGGGTGGAGGTGTTTCCTCAGGTGGGGGGGAGCCGAGGTCTCTCAAGGTGCTGTCCTGAAAGACTACTGGAAAAGATGTTACCGTAAGTGTAACTTGATATTTTTCTCATTTACCTAAATAATTGATGTAAATAACAGTCTGCATAATTCTCATGTTATCAACTATTAAGAGTACAATTAAAATTTTATTGAACAAACCTCCTAATGATAACCGTATTCTTTTTAAACATAAAACACTTCCAATGCACTGTTCCAAATTATTACGCACAGTAAGTTTCAAAACACTTTATAGGTTAAGAACTGAAAATTGTCATTTGTTGTGTTTGCAGCATATTTACTGAAATCAAAAGCTATTTCAATCATACTTTTAACAACATTTTAACTTTTTAAACATTTTAACAGGTCACGTTACATTTTAACATAGGACCCCTTATTTGATAGCAGCTTCACAAGTCTTGCATCCATTGAACTTGTGAGTTTTTGGACAGTTTCTGCTTGAATTTGTTTGCAAGATGTCAGAATAGCCTCCCAGAGCTGCTATTTGGATGTAAACTGCCTCCCACCCTCATAGATCTTTTGCTTGAGGATGCTCCAAAGGTTCTCAATAGGATTGAGGTCAGGGCAGGATGGAGGCCACACCATGACTTTCTCTCCTTTTTATCCCCATAACAGCCATTGATGCAGAGGTATTTTTTGCAGCATGAGATGGTGCATTGTCATGCATGAAGATGATTTTATTACGGAAAGCATAGTTCTTCCTTCTGTACCAGGCAAGAAAGTGGTTAGTCATAAACTCCACATACTTTGCAGAGGTCATCTTTACACCTTCGGGGCCCCTAAAGGGGCCGACCAGCTCTGTTCCCATGATTCCGGCCCAAAAAATGACTCCACCACCACCTTGCTGACATCGCAGCCTTGTTGGAACTGGGTGGCAATTCACCAACCATCCACTACTCTATCCATCTGGACCATCCAGGGTTGCACGGCACTTATCAGTGAACAGGACTGTTTGAAACTTAGTCTTCATGTATTTTTCTGCCCAATGCAGCCGTTTCTGCTTGTGAGCATTGGTTATTGGTGGCCGAATAGAAGGTTTATGCACAGTTGCAAGACTCTGGAGGACTCTACACCTTGATGTCCGTGGGACTCCAGAGGCACCAGCAGCTTCAAATATTTGTTTGCTGCTATGTAATCGTATTTTAGCAGTTGCTCGCTTGATCCGATGCATGGATCTGACAGAAATCTTCCTCAATGTGCCTTTATCTACACGAACCCGTCTGTGCTCTGAATCAGCCACAAATCTCTTAATAGTGCGATGATCACGCTTACTTTTTCGTGCAATATCTAATGTTTTCATACCTCGTCCAAGGCATTGAACTATTTCACTCTTTTCGGCAGCAGAGAGATCCTTTTTCTTCCCCATATTGCTTGAAAATGGTGCTCTGCTTAATAATGTGGAACACCCTCCTTTAGTAGTTTTTCCTTAAATTGGGTTCACTGGCCAATCTAATTATCACAGGTGTCCGAGATTGTTTTCAGTGATCAAAAGAGCCCTGACACACAATGCCATCCATGAGTTAAACTGAAAAACAAAATCTTTAATCTTTGTGACACTTAAATAGAATTTACATAATAATTTGGAACAGGGTGTATATATCTCATTTCAAAACTGGTGTAAAAGATGTCCTTAATGAAGGAGAGAGATAAGCAATGATTGTGGCTTACCTCACATGTGTACCAGTTTATGTAGCTAAGGCAAGGAGTGGAGAACATGTTCTTGAAATACTTGAAAAGAAAAACTGTAAAAACAATAAATTTAAATAAAAATAAACATTTTGAAGCATTCCCGTACGCCCGTGCTCATATGTGAATGCAAACATGCACATAGTTTCAGCAAGTGTATGTAAACAGTGGTTGCACCTTGCTGTAAACGTCAGCGTGAGCGCAATCGTTCTAGTGACAGAGCTCACATTTAACTTTAAACTGCTAACTGTAAAGGCTTTTTAAGTGTCGCCAATGAATACTTTTAGGTATAATAGTTTGTTGCCATTTTACAGGCGTGTGCTGTTTTAAATCTTAATATTTTTGATATCCATTTACTGAATGTAATATCTTTTATATTCTACAAATAAATGGGTATTATAATGTGTTTGGGTGTACTGGTATTAACTTAAGTGTATCTAAGGGTATTTTTTCCTGAAAATTTGCATTTGATAAAGGGCTGTGCACATCTTGTATGGCTTAAAAAATTGCAACTACCACTATTTTGGGTCTCTGCTTTAAGAACATATGAAATATTTGGGGGAGCTAAGCAATTTTCTACCCAAAAAAATGCAGATTTTAACATATCAAACACAAAGTCAAAATTGCCCTGGACAGCAAGTGCCTAATATAACTAATGTTTAACATTCATGGGGTCTCAGTATATTGTGTTTGGGCAACTTTTACTTTACTATTTTTGTGTTATTCCATGTCTTTACATTCACTTTTAAAACTGGTTTTACTATAATATCGAAATTACAGATTTCTTTCTCCCTTCTACTGGGGTTCTCGGTAGCTGAAAGTGTTTGTGAATCTCTTCTCATCTCTATTCTTATTATGCAAAACGATCTACAAGTTTTCATAAACTCCACCCAAAAAGGGGAAGTTCCACTTTAAAGACTGGCCCCCTGCTCCCCATTAAGGATTGGCACCTTTGGGGAGCAGGTACCCGAAATTGACGGGTACCCACTCCCACTTCCCCCCTATAGTCTTCTGGGACACGTGACAGGTCCCAGAAGACTACAGGACCATTCAGAGAGTGCAGCCCTACTCACACATGCGCAGCGGGCACCCAGCTGTGAAGCTGCAAGCTGTCATAGCCGGGTGCCCACACTGAAAATGCCGGTGAAACGGGCTACAGGGAGGACACCGCGGGATTGAGGGACAGGTGAGTGGCTGTTTTTTAAAAGTCAGCAGCTACAGTTTTTGTAGCTGCTGACTTATTTTTTCACAGTGTGACTGGAGCTCCTCTTTAACAGAAGTTTTTCCTTTGAGAATGTCTGTGATCTCGTCAGCATTGGATTATCGCTGCTTCATAAACGGACACCTTAGTCCTCTAACGGCCATGTATTGCAATAGCTTGCCTGATTAGATGTAAATTGACGAGTTCTCAAGGCTTGTCCACTACACAGTTGATGGTAAACCCCCAAAAAGGCTGTGCATAATATTTTGTACAATTTGTCGAATTTTATCCTGTGTGACCAAATTTAATGTGCAACATTTAATAGTAAATTTCTACCCACAGTTTGGGTGCTGTTGTTTTTTTTTTTTTTTTTTTGTTTAACTATAATAATGACTCTTTGTTTTACCAGATAACCTGGCATGAAATTGCACGTCCTCAGATTCATGGCTATGACATGCAGTGTATTGCCATGATTGGAAGATTTCAGTTTGTGTCTGGAGCGGATGAGAAAGTTCTCAGAATATTTGCTGCACCAAGGAACTTCATTGAGAATTTCAGTAAAATTTCTAACATTTCAGTGGAAAGTCTTCTTTCAAATGTACGTAAGCAACCAAATGATATACATGATAGCTAGAGAGAATTTAATGCAAAACCATTCTAAATCCATTTCCTAGACAACTTTATGTAAACCTTTCCCCCTGTAGCTTCATTGCTGTAGACCGGGTTCACACTGTTGCGTTGTGGGAAACAGTGCAAATCCTATACATTTCCTGCACCACATTGCAATCGCATGGCATTCACGTGATCTGGCAGGTGTCAATGTTAAATCAGTGGCACCCGTAACAGATTGCAAAAGACGATGTGGTTGTCAGAAATCGCATAGGTGAAAACATCCATATGATGCGATTCAGGTGCGGGAAAAAAAGGGTTCTGCACCTTTTTGGTGCAGATGCAATGTGATTTGAACCATACAAAATGTATGGCTCAAAGCCCACCGCACAGGCATTGCATGTATTTCTCACAGGAATGCGGTGCGATTCCTGTGCAAATTACATGTGGTGTCCCGCACTGCATTAGTGTGAACCCAGTCTTCATGTTCTTTAGACCTGAAAGATCTTTGCAGATGGTGGCCTAAAGTTGCTGACAGTAGTGCAATGTTTAGTTTGTCTCCTAAACATTCCTATGTTGAACAACGTATAATGGTATTATTTAATGGTTTGAATTTTTGCTGTATTACTGTTGGTCCAAGGAGAATCTTGATCAGGACTTGTTGAACCACTGTTGATAGTGTATCCATCACACCATGAAAGCAAGTGGGTTAATTGGGTGCCTGGCGTACATTAGGTCAAAATTCCTCGCTCAGCCTACTATGCAGTAGATTGCAAGGGAACTTTTTATATATATATATATATATATATATATATATATATATATATATATATGAGCCAGATTCTTCTTTGCGTGACTAGACTAGCCTTTTCTTAATATTTACGCATAGGAATGTACATTTTTCTGGAAGTAATTCAAGTAAAAGTGGGATGGGGGAGGTGATGGATATGTTGCCACCCTTTAAATCCTTCTAAAGAATTATTTAAATTGTTACATGTAAAATGACTAATGTGAAAAGTCTCTTTTTAATGTGCATGCATGGATAATTATGGGTATATTTATAAATGTTTTTAGAAGCCAAAAATAGATAGTAGTAGCTTCTAGTGAAAGATTTGCAGAGGAAACTACAGGGGCTGCTATTGCTGACATTGCCCTAAGAATACTAGTTGCCTGGCTAGCTCTGCCTTCAATGCTTTCTGACCTGGAACATGCTTGCATATCAGGTAAAGCTGTGTTTTAAGTAAAAAAACAAAAACAAAATGCTGTAGAGGGGAAAAATGATTGTACTTGCCTTGGCTTCTGTACTGCAGAGGGTTTTATCACCAACCTTCCAAACTGATCATGGAAAGTGCTGGCTATTCCATATCTTATGGGAAGATGCCCTAAAAGAGTGCAGGAATGGCTTGTCCATAGATTTGGAAGTATTCTCAGTATTGCCTATGATCTTGCTGGAAGAATGGTGATCTCGCCCTCACCTAGGCACCACAGACAGAATCTGGTAATTCGGTATTATTTTTTTTTTTCCTCTACATATTTTTACTTTTAAGCAGCTGTTCATGATGGCGTAGGGGACCTAATTTATATTAAGCAGACCTTGAAGTTTTACTACATGGTCCGCTTTAAAGAAAATCCATAATTTGTGAGCTTTTATTTTTTGAGTGTTCAAGGACTTACAACAAAGAGTTGTATAGAGTTGCGAAATAACAATCACAAATCAATGAAAGAACAAAAAGAGGCTCATCGATGAAGTGCATATACATACAATGTCAGTGCATGACAGTGAATTAGCCAGCAACTTATAGATAGAGGAAATTAGGCCCTGCTGGTATAGACCCTGAATGCAGATGCATTCAAAAAGAGTAGGCTTCTCTAGGGTCAGAGAGGGAATCTTAGAGAAGAAGTGTTGTATTTGTAGGTAAACATAATACTGATGGAGGAGGCATATGAGTAGCTTTTTGAATCTCAAAAAAGGGTCTAAGCTCTCAGGTCACTGGGCAGACCAAGTGTCACAGTTGAAATAGGTTGGCTCTGGCCCAAGGACTCATACAGGCCAGGGACAAACTATCTGGGAGACTAGAGTTAAGTATGACATTGGCCAGAGATGAACAAAGAGAAGACAGGGCAAATGTATCCCTACACCTCCTCCATATAGACGACAGAAACTGCATAGGCCCTTGCAGGAGATGCTTGTGAGGGGAGATTGCAATGTTGGTCATAGACCAGAGTAGAGAAGAAGGGTGCAATGGACTCCATTGCAGCCATTCAATCTTGGCCCATTTGTTACGGGGGTGCTGAGAGGACCGCAAGACAAAAATACGGAGCTGAGTGGCCAAATAATACAACACAAGGTCTGGGGCCCCCAGACCTCCCCTAGATTGAGGTGAGAGAAGGACTGTATGGGCAATTCAGTGAGATTTATTATGCCAGATAAAGTGGAGGAAGGATTTCTGAAGGGAACAAAGCTTGGACATGGGAATAGGTACAGGAAGCGTCTCAAACAGATACAGAAGCTTGGGAAGTGTGGTCATTTTTAGCACATTAATCCTGCTATGAAAGGAGATGGCAAGGTTGTCCCAAGATTTTAAGTATTGAGAGATAGCTTGAAAAAGGGGGGGAAATTATCTTCATAAAGGGAGTGGAAGGAGGAGGTAAGGTTGGTACCGAAGTACCTCAAGGAGTGGGGGCACCAGCGATAAGGATAATTTGCCTGAAGAGAAGATAAAATGTCAGAGGGTATGTGGAGTGGTAATGCTTCACTTTTAGACACGTTAACCATATAACTTGACAGGGCGCCAGCTGTAGAGTATGATGTAAAACAGGCAGAGTAATGTGGGGCTCCGTTAGTGCCAGTAGTATATCATCAGCGAACAAAGACAGCTTAAAGTCACTATTGTGGGTGCATATACCATGGATATCTGGGTTGGATCTGACCGCTATAGCCAGGGGTTCCAAACAGAGGATAAACAACAAGGGGGAAAGAGGGCATCCCTGGCGTGTACCATTGGACATCCGAAGAGAAGGGGATAAGAAAGACGCTAATTTGACCTGGGAAGAGGGAGTGGAGTAAAGGGCTTTCAAAGCAGCCACAAACGGACCGCTAAACCCAAATCTCTCTAGGAATAGAAACATGTACGGCCAACTTAATCTGTCAAAATGCTTTTTGGGCATCCAAGCTCAACAAGAGAGTAGGATTCGGGGACTTATTGACAAGGTCGATCAAGTCAGTGGTCCTCCTGGTGTTATCTGCAGCGTGTCTAGCCAGGACAAAGCCCACCTGGTCTCTGTGTATAAGCTTGGCGATACATTTGGACTATCTATTGGCTAGTATTTTCATGAAAATCTTGTAGTTAGAGTTTAATAAGGCTATGGAGCGATAATTATCTGGAAGGGAATGGTCCTTATCCAGCTTGGGGATCACAGAAATATATGCACTCGTAAAATCATTGTGCGGGAGAGACCCTTTCAGGAGATCCCGAAACAAAGTCAGAAGATGAGGGGCTAAAATGCTAATAAGGGACTTGCAATATGAGTAAGGGAGACCGTCCGGTCCATGGGACTTGTGATTAGGAAGGTGTTTAACAACATCCAATAATACTTTGATGGAAATTTCTGCATTCAAGGCTGTAACATCGGAGGGTGACAAACACGGCAAATGTAAAGAGTAAAAAAAGGCATCAAAAGCAGTCATCTGAAGGGGAGGATGAATATCAGGGGCTAGGCAATTTTATAAAGCTTCTCATAGTATTCCCCAAATATTGTAGCCATAACATGCGGGTCATATGTGGATTTGCTATAGGACTGGAGTAGATGACCTGGTAAAGAGGGGGACATTTGAGATTTAAGTCTATTCACGAGCATACGGTGGGGTTTATTAGAGAACTCATAGAATTTTTGCCTAGCCCAGACGAGAGACTGAGCAGTTTTATGCAGGTAGAGAGCCCGAATTTGATCACATATTGGGAAACTTTCTGGAACCGAGGTATAGATGGTTTATCTAGCAATCGATAAACCAACAGCTGAGCATAGTTGGCGCGAAAGGGATTGTCTGGCACAAACAGAGGCCTTCTTTAACGACTTGCCTACCAGGCACTTATACCCCCTTCCTTACCAGGCCAATTTTCAGCTTTCAGCGCTGCCGCACTTTGATTGACAATTGCGCGGTCATGCAACATTGTACCCATATGAAATTTTGATCATTTTTTTCTCACAAATAGAGCTTTCTTTTGGTGGTATTTAATCGCCACTGGGCGCTTTACTTTTTGCGCTATAAATTAAAAAAAAGTGCAAAAAAATTTGAAAAAAAAAAAAAGTTTGTTTCTTTTATAAAATTTTTCAAACAGGTATTTTTTCTCCTTCACTGATTTGCGTTGATGAGGCGGCACTGATGGGCACTGATAGGCGGCACTGATAGGCAGCACTAAAGGGCACTGATAGGCAGTACTAATGAGGTGGCACGGATAGGCGGCACTGATAGACAGCACTAATTAGGGGTCACGGATAGGCGGCACTGATATGTAGCACTGATAGGCGGCACTGATAGGTGACACTGATGATGGGTACTGATAGACGGCACTGACTGGCATCACTTCTGGGCACTGACTGGCGGCACTGACTGGCACAACCCCTGGGCACTGACTGGTGGCACTGACTGGCAGCACTGGTGGCAGCACTGGTGGGTGGCACTGGTGGGCAGCACTGGTGGGTGGGCACAGGTGGGTGGCACAGGTGGGTGGCACTGCTGGGCACATGTAGGTGGCACTTCTGGGCACAGGTAGGTGGCACTGCAGAGTGGCACAGGTGGGGGCACTGCTGGGCACAGGTGGGGGCACTGCTGGGAACGGGTGGGCGGGGCTAGTGGGCGCACTGCTGGGCGGAACTTGCGGGTGTCACTGCTGGGCACCGATCATCAGGGCACTGATCATCAGTGCCCTGATGATCGGTGCCGATCCCCGCTCTGACAACTGCCAGGTTCTCGGCAGTACTTTCCTC